TGACTCGGGAAAAGGATCGAGCAGGAGTAGAGTTGAGTATAATACATTGGGTTATAATCTAGTAAATTTGGTTCTGGCAAGGCAGGGCCGAGTAGAGCAGGGCAGAGTCGAGCTTCCTGTCAGTCTTCTGATCTATTTGGAGTCTGCGCTGGCTGTCGTGCTTTTCTTCCACGATCCTCCTTTCCCCCCCGCTTGCCCCGCCCCGATTCGTTTCCACTTCTCTTCTTCGCTTTTTTCCTGTTTCCTTTTCCCCTCCCTTCCCATTCCAGGGGTCGCGCCAACTACACGCGGCAAAAAAAAGACGACGCACCCCAAAGGGGGTACGACCGAAGACGAAGATGGCTGATATCCATGAGATTCGGGTACTCCTGTTGAGTCGCACGCGAGCAGCGAAGAGCGCGCCCAGGCTAAACATGATGGGGTGAGGTAGCGATGATCAGGACGGGGAGTGACTCTGGCAAGCAGACAGGAGGAGGACGCTTATAAAGACTGGTAGCGCGCAGGAGGATGATGGGCAGCAGGGGACGAGAGGATGGAGGGGGGGGGGGGGGGTCCTGCGCTCCAGGCGTGCGCCTCGCAGCTTGCCTAGGAAGGGGGAGAGTACTCGAGAGGCAACGTAAAGAGGGCCTCCTTCGCACTGCGTGCCCCCCTGGAGGCAGATCCTGACCAACCCGCCGAAGAAGGGAGGCGGCGGCACGCTGACCCAAGGAGGGCGGCGGCGACTGCCCCGGCCCCTCTGCCCCAGTGCCCGCCGCAAGCTCGGAGCAGCAGGCCTCTAAAGTCCGCGCCTCGCCGACACAGCCAGGACTTCCTCCTCCCCTCCTCCTCCGTCATAACCTCTTGTGCGTCGCGCGGTTTCCTAGCTTTTCGTATGTCTCGCAGTTCCCCTGCATGTCGTACACGTCTACAGGAGGCCATGGCCTCACCCGCCTGGTCTTAGTAGGCCCGGACAGCTGTCCGATGTGGTGGTTCGTTCGTTCGTTCGATCGCCTTCTCCTCGTTCCCGCGTCTCAAGGCTCTCTTGGGAGTCTGAAGGCACGGGGAGTGGACTCCTCCCCCTCAGCCCCCCGCCCCTCACACAATTCCTTTCTCCGCTCTCTCCTCTTGCTCCTCCTCCCTGTTTCGGGGTCCTGGACACGCAAAGTTGGGCGTCGCATGAGCTGAGCACCCGCCTGGATTTCAGCCAAGATCGTCGCGTGAGCTTGATTTTTGCGAGGGCTCGGCTTTCGGTCCTGTGGCCGTTTCCCCCCCCCTCTTGCGTCGTGTCGTAGTGCAGTCGCGCCAGTCCGCAAAAGACCTCTCGCCGTAGTCTTAGCCCTGCGTTTCGTGGGTCGGTGGCTGGGCCTGACGCCAGGCTGGGGAAGCAGCCTGCGCGGTCCGAGAGGAGGCCCACGAGGACGAGAGAGACACGACCCCAAAAGGTTTCGTAAGTAGCCTCCAGGAGGCCCCAGCGCAGGCCCCCCCCTGCTGTTGCGCGAGGCGTCACGCTCAAAGCTGGCTCAGCATCTGCTCAAGATTTACCGCGAGAGCTGGCACAGGCTTCTCGGGCAGACGTTTTTGTTCAATCATGGCCTTGATTGAAGATCGGCGGCGTGCTCGGGGGGGAAGTGAGAAGGCGCAGGCATTATCAGAAGGCGGCGGGGCTTCTCGGAAGCCTCGCCGCCTTCTGAGAAGTGTGCCGTGTCTTCGGAGACGGCTCATCTACCATATCTCAGCGGGCCGGAGGCCTTACGAGACCTCTGAGACGACCCGCCCCCTCCCACTTCCGCCCCGGGCTCGCCGCCAAGAAGAGCTTGCAGGTTTCGCGCCGTCATCGCCTCGCTCACCTTCACATCCTGGCCGAGGGCGAGGCGGGGCCCGAATCGATCCCGCATTTGGCACCAGCCCAGGCAGGCCCCCGACGTCGTGTCTTTTCCACGACGTCGACCCCCACAGGTCTGGACCCCTTCCTCGGGAACGGTGTTTCATCCCAGGTTGTTTTGTTGACGCTCCGGGGGCCCAGCAAGGGCCCCCAGAGGCCGAAACGAGCGAACAACCTCCCGTCGTGATTTCTGCACGGCGCGATGGGGTTCTGCGGTGGAAAAATGGACGAAGGGTGAGGAGGAGGAGGAGGTGGAGGAGGAGGAGGAGGAGGATGAAGAAGGGGAGGAGGTGGAAGTGGAGGAGGAGGAGGAGGAGGAGGAGGAGGACGAGGAGGGAGAGGAAGAGGGGGGAGTCGATGGCTGACGGGCCGCCAAGGTCGTTTTTTGGCGGTCCCAGGGCCTGGCAAGGGCCCGCGGAGGCCGAGACGAGCAAACAACCTCCCGTCGGCAGTTCTTCATGACGCGAGGGGGTCTGGGCAGGGGGACGGGGGAACAGGGACGAAGGGTGGGGAGGAATAGGAGGAGGGAGGAGGTAGGAGGGAGGAGGGAGGTGGGAGAGGGGGGGAGGAGGGGAGGAGGGAGGAGGGAGAGGGAGGAGGGGAGGAAGGCGGGAAGGAAGAGGAGGGAGGAGGGGCCAAACGACCGAACGACCTCCCGTCGTGGGTTCTTGACGACGCGAGGGGGTCTGGGGCCGCCGCGGGCCGCAGCATCTCGGATGCCACCTGGGCGCTTGCCTTTGACCCAGACGTCGTCCAACAGGTCTTTGGCAACTGCTCGATCCAGAGGCCGTTCGTCGCCCCCTCCTCCTCCTCCTCCTGCTCCTCCTTCTCTTCCTCCTCCTCCTCCTCCTCGCCCTCCTCCCCGTTCCCCTCCTCTACCTCCTCCTTCTCCACGTCCTCCTCCGCCTCCTTCTTCTCCTCCTCCTCCTCCTCCTCCTCCTCCTCCTCCTCCTCCTCCTCCTCCTCCTCCTCCCCACCCTTCGTACCTTTTCCCTCTGCTCCCTCGCCTTCCCCTTCCTATCCCTCTCCCTCCCGTTCCTCTTCCTCTCTCTCTCTCTCTCTCCCTCTCCTTCCTACTTTTCCTCCCTCTCCTTCCCCTTGCTCCTCACCCTTCGTCCGCCGCGTAGGAGTTTCGGAGTGTTGGGTCAGTGGTTCCGTTGGCCTTGTAGACAAATCGTCGATTTGGCCGAACTCCAGCCGATTGTTAGCACGTTTTCGCCCGTTCAGTACACTAGTGCACGCTGTAGCGCACGATCAATCAGCGAAGAGACATTGGACCCTGACGTGCATTCATTCATTCATTCATTCATTCCACCCTTCGTCCCTTTTCTCCCGTCCCCATCCTCAGGCCCCCTGGCGTCGTGAAGAAACCACGACGGGAGGTTGTTCGCTCGTTTCGGCCCCATGGGGCCCTGACCGGGCCCCGGGAGCGTCAACAAAGCGATTCGGGATGAAAAACCGGTCCCGGGGAAGGGGATGTTTTGGGGTCGATTTTGTGGGAAAAGACACGACGCCGGGGCTTTTGGAGCAGTGCTTGCACTTAGGTGCTCTTGCTTCTCCTCTATGGTTACTGAGTTACTGAGCCTGAGTGCTGGTCTGAGTTACTGAGCCTGAGTGCTGGTCTGGCAGGCTTGCTGTCGCCTGTCGCCGCCCGTCGCCGCCGCTGGTAACTGGGCCTGGGTGCCAGTCCGGCCGGCTCGTGGCCGCCTGTCGCCGCTGCCGTCGCCGCTGGTACTCGAACCCCTGTGCCAGTCTGGAAGCTCGTCGCCGCCCGTCGCCGTCGTCACCGCTGGATTGTCTTGCATTGCATTGTAATCGCATTGCGCTTCGTTGCTTTATGTCGCTTTGCTTTGTTTTCGATGTTTTGCATTGATGTGCGTTGACTTGCGCTGCTTTGCGTTACATTGCGTTGTTTTGCACTCAGTTGCGTTACTTGTCTTTATGTTGCATGTTAGTGCGGAGTGTGCTTGCAAACGGGCACGGGATTGAGGGACCCAACGGCGTCTTCACCATGCTCCCCTGTATTCCACTATATATTCGCTCAAGCTTTCACAGGTTCGCTCGCATGGGCCTCCCGCGTGGGCCCCTGGCAGCCGCGGCGGCGGCCGCGGTCCATGGGCTGCTGGCGTTAGGGCTCTGGAGCTCGACGCCCGCGCCTGCTTGCCCGCAGCCGGTGTGTCCGGCGCCATTCTGCCCGGCGCTGGTCTGCCCCGACTGTGTGTCGGTGGCCGGCGCGCCCGACCCGGGGCCGCCGGGTGGCCCTGCGGCTCTCGGCCTGGGCGAGGTGCCCGAGGAGCTGGCGGAGATCCGCTCGGCGGCGCTTCGCCTGGAGGAGCAGCTCGCCTTGGTGCAGGAGGCGCTGGAGGCCGCTTGGAGCGCCTGGCCGTTGCTCTGGGTGCTCATCGGTGGGGCGGGCAGGGATCTGCTCGGTCGCCTGACCGATAGGTGCCGTCGGCGTCATGCTGTCGAACAGGAAGTACCAGCTGTTTTCCTCCAGCGGCCTCGTCGTGCCGGAGGAGGAGTTTATGCGTGAGATGAAGCCGGGCAAGCGGTTTGCCCTTTGGTATGAGGACGACACTTACTGGCACGAACGGGTCGCGCTGGCGGAGGTGCGGCCAGAGGTGTGGATCATCACCACTCCCGATGGGCATCGCTACTCTGAGAATATCAGGTGCCGCCGGGGTACCTCAGGCGCGGTGCAGGCGGTGCATCTCGTCCCTGATGCCGAGCTGCTGGAGCCGATGAAGGGGCACTTCTACCGGTTTCGCACCGCGTTCGACGCCGCGGACCTTGTGGAGCAGATCAAGCTGGCTGAGGGCGAGTCCTATGGCATCACTCGTCGTCGGCGGCCGTCGCCTGAGGCCATTGCCCTGTGGGACGGGAGTGAGGTCGAGTATCAGGCGCTGATGGACTCGGACGGGGCGCAGCTGGTGCCCTTGGCTGGGGACGACGGTGAGGCGAGGCCTGCTGTCGCGCCGGGCGCCGCGGCTCTGCCGCTGGCCGCGGCCGCTGACCCGCCGCCGGACGTCACCTGGCTCATCGTCGACCCGCTCCACCCTGATTTCGGTCGGGAGCGCCATCCTGCTCCAGACGCCGAGATGGCAGGTGACTACGCCATGGCGTTGGACGCGAGTCGGCGGCCGGTGCCAGTGAAACGGGTGCCGATCGCCGACGTGGCCACCTTCTTGGACACGGTGCACATGACGGTGCGCAAGATCCTGGACGAGGAGGGCGCCGCCGTGAAGGCGGACAAGGGTCTGGAGGGCCGCCTGAGCGAGGCCCTGGACGGCGGCACCAAGACCCCTCCTGCGGGCGAGGACGCGAGGACCTTGTCGGTGAGCTACGACGAGCACGGGGAGCGGCACAAGGACTGGCGATCGGTCTGCGCCGAGATCTCGTTCAGCCACTTCAGCGACTGGGAGAAGCACCACGAGGGGCCGGCGACCACGCTCGCGTTGTTCAAGAACATCCAGCGCCAAGGGGGAGATCCTCGCCTGTTCTATCCCATATGGTGCCGGGACGCGGGCGTCAGCCCTCAGGAGCGCACGGGCATCGAGATGAAGCTCCTGCTGGACATCCTGTACCTGAGCGGCTGCTACGACCAGGTCAACGGGCCATCGTTGGCGAGCATCGAGGCCGTGTCGAGGAGGGTGTGCCAGATCATCGAGGCGTACTCCACTGGCGCTCCTGGCCGCGCGAACTGGGAGGGCGTGAAGCACTTCATGCCTCTGGCCAACTCGGCCTCGGTGGCGCCGCCGGAGCTGCGCTCGCATGCCCACCGCCGCGCGAAGGAGGAGGTGGAGATCGAGAACATGCGCATGAAGGCGCGCGGGCTGCATCCGGGCGCCGGC